TCCTCTGGGCTGGAAGGGCGATACAGAGGTGAAAGACAAGATGCCACCCTCCTCAGCCACGCTCACCCACTGCCACGTGCTACTGGCAAGTCACCAGAAGTCAAGAGTGTCTGACAGCAAGTCAGAGAATCACAGAATCATTTAGGATGGAAAATAAGCTTAAGACCATTGAGTCCAACCATCAACCCAGCCCCACCATGGTCATCACTAAACCATGTCCTCGAGTGCTACACACACACATTTTTTGAACACTTCCAGGGATGGTGATTCGACCACTGCCCTGGGCAGCCTGTGCCAGGCCTTGACAACCCTTTCAGGGAAGAAATTTTCCCAATATCCAACCTAAATCTCCCGTGGTGCAACTTGAGGCCGTTTCCTCTCATTCTGTCACTTGTTGCTTGGGAGAAGAGCCCGACCCCCACCTGGCTACAGCCCCCTGTCAGGAAGTTGCAGACTTCAGCAACTCATTTCTACCTGAAACATCTTTTAAAAACAGAAGAGGAAAAGTAATAACAGCGAGCAAAATACGCCCTTAACCCCCGAGTGTAACACCAGCTTACACACAGCCCCCAGGGCCCCCAAGCCCGCGGCAGCCCGTGCGCTCGGCAGGCGCCGCGCCCGGCCGGAGGACGGGGGGGAGCAGAGCGGGACACCCCGGGCTGGGGCCCCGCACTCTGCCCTGCGCGCCTGTCCCCGCCCCAGCCCCAGGGACCGACGGCCCCGACCCGCGGCCGCGCAGCCAAACCCCGCGGGAAGGCACCGAACCCCCCCCCGGTCCCGGGGGCTCCGTCCCTCACGGCCCGGCCCGCACTCACCGGCCATGGCGGCCCCGGCCCCGCCCGGCCCGCGGGCTGCGGCCTTCGGCCCTGGGCGGCCTGCGGGCTGTGCCGGGCCGGGGCGGGGCGGCGGGGCCAGGGCGGTGCCTCCGGGAGGCGGGACAGGGAGCTGGGATGGGCTGCGGGGCCGAGGGACCGGGGGGACCGGGGGGACCGGGAGGACCGGGGGGACCGGGGGGACCGGGGGGACCGGGGGGACCGGGGTCCCAGGGTCGGCACCCTCCGAGCCCACGGCGGGTTTCCCCCGCGCCCTGAAAGCCTCGGGGCGCGAAACCGTGAATGTACACCCGCACAGCCACCGGGGTTCGAAACTGTTCATTGCACAGTTAGTAACGCCGCGATTCTCTTTTCCCACTCGTAATTTCGCTGTCCGACATACCCACGTCTACACCTGCGCAATGTCCGTGTTCTCCTTGTGCCGCAGCAGCCCTGGCGCGCCTGCAGCGGGTAAGGCACATTTGGCCCGAGCAATTAATGCACCATTAGTAATGCCACAGTTTCCTTTCCCACTGCTGATTTCACTGTCCAAAATACCGCGTCTACATCGCCACAATACCCACGTACAGTTCATGTTTTCCCTGTGCCACAGCAGTGCACATTTGGCCCCCTAGTTACTCAAGTCCAGGGGCAGGGGCAACCCGTCTCATAGAAAAGGTTGCAGGGAAGCGTCTAATTAATTGGGATATATTAAGTTAATGAGGGAAGAAGTACAAGCAAATGTGTGGATTTTAAAAAATCCGATTTGCATTAAATTTCACCAGCACTAAATTTGACCTTTTAATTACCCAGCAAGGTATGGAGGACAATATGCCTTCCTGGGTATAAATGCTGCAGAGGGTTGAAAGCGAATCTCAGTTTTGAAAATTGTGAAGAAAGGGATATGTTATTTATTATTGCGGGGGGGGGTTGACTGTAAAATCTGGTATTTTTTTTTATTGTATAGAAAAGGTGGATTTCTACTATGGCAAAGACACAGGGTTATTTCTAATTATGACTGTGTCAAAACCATGAAGAAAATGTTTTAGAGGGACAGAAATCCTCCAGAGGGATTAAAATCACAGTAGGCAAAGCTTCCTCTAGATTGGTACATAAAACACTTCAACCACACAACTGCCCTTACACAGACACTTCTTATTTAAAATTTGCTTAAGTAACAAGTCCTCAAGCAGCAACATATATGCTAAACCAGGAAACACCCATTGCATGCATGATACTAGTCCATGTGACCCTGAGAGGTTTGCCCTCATTTGCCTCTGTGCCATTTAATAATGGAATCACAGAATGGTTTGGGTGGGAAGAAACCTTAAAGCTCATCTCGTTCCACCCCCTGCCATGGGCAGGGACACCTTCCACTAGCCCAGGTTGCTCCAAGCCCCGTCCAACCTGGCCTTGGACACTTCCAGGGATAGGGCAGCCACAGCTTCTCTGGGCAACCTGTGCCAGGGAAGAATTTCTTCCTTATATCTAACCTAAATTTTCACTCGTTCGGTTTGAACCCATCGTAACCGGTGTGTGGAAAAGCTGTGGCAATACACCAGGGCTGGCTAAACAGATCATAAATCTGATAATAATAATAATAATAATAATAATAATAATAATAATAATAATAATAATAATAATAATAATAACAATAATAATAATAATATGGCTCCATGCTTGGAGTGGTGTAGTGTCTTGGGAGCACTTCAGTGTAGCACTGAAGCTGGAAGTCAGTCAACATGTCCTGACGGACAGGCCGGGGGGTCTGAAGCCCTATGGGGTGGGCACGAGTTGCCAGAACGATTTAGTGAGGACATGACTTTGTGCTTGGATCAGGAATCATAGCTTGTCCCGCGTTGGAAGAGGCCCACGAGGACCACCGAGTCCAGCTCCTGGCTCTGCACAGGACATGCCGTACACCCTCTCATGAGAGACAGCTGCAGCTAGCATGGCAGTTAGTAAAAGAAAAAAAGAAAAAGAAAACAAAGAATTTGCTTGCAGTTTGCAAGTGCTGCCACTCCGTGGTGTCACAGGGTGAGTGTTACACCCAGCACAGCCGCAGAGATGAGGCCTGGGCCGTACCTGGGCAGGTCCTGGGGCAGCATTTCGGCTGGCAGGGTTACCCACACCATCCTGACGCTTTCTTCAGCATCATTTCTCTCTCTGATACTCTCACCTCTGCTTTCAGAGTCTGCCCTTCCCTGCCAGGGAGCAGTTCCTAGTGTGGCACAGCTCTCCCAAGAAGGTAGTGTCCCACCCTGTGCCATATCACAATTTGAGGCACCTCCATTAAGATACTAAACACCTGCAGCCCCACATTTACCCTCTGACATGTTGATGTCTACCTCTGTACAAGAAATGAAAGAAGCTTCATCCCTAGAAAGTGTAAGAACATGGGGAAAACACCTCACTGAAGTATTTTTAGTGTTGCCAAATGCTGTGACATTCATGGTGCATGTCCTTGAGAAGATCAATAAACATCCCAAGTTTATTCCATTTACCCTCAGGAATCCAGATCTTTCTAACAGCATGAAAATAGATTTTTAAATTACTATTATTATTGCACATGGAGGCCTTGCTCATGCCTTTACCAGAGTGATTTTGGCAATGTATTTTAGTAAAGAAACAGGAAAGGAAATTGTCACTTTATAAATCCTTTCATTGTATATTTTTAATATTATTTTGGTTGGGGCCCTGAGCTACCTGGTGTAGTGGAAGGTATCCCTGCCCATGGTACAAGATGATCTTTAAGGTCCTTTCCAAACCAAACCATTCTGTGATTCTATTATTTTATTTCATATATATATATATATTAAAATATTACAGCAAGAGGCATTGCCTAGTACTAAGAAGCAATGGCAGAATGGTATGCTGAGGATTTGTTTTTATGACCATTTTATAACTTTGTGAATTCATTGCATTTTGTGCTCTGCTATAAAGTTTCTCTGGAAACTTTTAGAAATTTTAGAAATTCCTAATTTAGAAGCTTTTAGAACTTTTCGAACTACCAGAATCTAAACCACCAAACTGAAGAGCCGGTCATCTTAATGTGACATAGACTGAAATCTCTAACATAAATCTAAAATGTTTTTCAGCACACGGCGAGTGAAATGGGAGTGAAAATCAACCCCTCAGGAGTGCTGCGATGCACAGTGCCACACTGCCTGGAGATATTTTTGTCCTGCAGACTCGGATAATGATACAAGAAGCAGAGGTTAAACATATCTCCTCCTCATGCCTGTGGCACGCAAGACCTCTGCGGCAGGACTGCTGTGAGGTTTGCCTTGGAAAGGCATCCTGGGGGAGCCACAGCCGCGGCAGAGGCAGCAGCCATGGACACCCTCCCCGGGAGGCACGGACTTGGCTGGAGCTGGGCACCGAACCCCTCCCGTGGTGTGATCCGTGACATTCAGAGAGCACAGCGGGCATGGAAGCCACACCTCGGGCCGGTCACAGCCATGGGCTGGGCACGAGCAGCCCCACGGAGCCTCACGCTCCTGCAGCACAGGAACGGGGGCTTTCAAACTGCTCCCAGGGCAAGGAGCTCCGTGAGAAGCCCCCACCTCCTGACAGAGCCCAACGCCTTTCCAAAACTCTGATCCACTTCAGAGTTCTGCCTCCTAATTTAGTGGCCAAGCGAAGTGAGCTGCCCAACAATGTTTTATTTCCCAGCAGATCCATTTCCTGGTTAGCTAATCTCAAAAGCCAGTGCTGTTTCCCCTCGCTAAACGGACTGATTTGTTTATTTGAGTGAATTACTTGACTTACTAAATCTCACCCTTGTCCTGGCAGCATCGCTATGTAGTGCTTTGTTTTATCTGTTAACTGTTGAATCACAATACAATTAGTTATTTTCCCACAGCCCAAGAGGGCTGAATCTCTTTAGCAACAAATTAAATCCAGATAGTGCAGGGGGTTCCTGTAATAAAGTCTTTCTTTGTGTTTAAGAAAATACAATAAAATACTTCTTGAAAGCTCAGATTACACACTAAGCTCCCTTCAGCACACTTTCGTCAATAATTTATAAAAACAAGCTCTAAGAAGCAAAAAAACTGGGAAGGCAGTGTCGGGCTGGCCACTCCCGTCAGAGCCGCTGCCCCTCCGGCTCCGCACTTCTCTTCCCGCAGATTCGGGCTTTCCAGGCCGTTGTTTTGCCCAGATTCCCCGTTACAAACACGCACTTACATCTTCTGTAGAGCATCATCCATCGGTTTCGGGGCTTGTGCCGTGCCCGGCACACGTCCCGCGCGGGGCGATCCTCCTCCTCCTCCTCCTCCTCCTCGCCTGGATGAGCAGAGGTCACGGGCTGCTTGGGGAAGCGAAAGTAAACGGGGAGGGAGCGAGTACGGCCAGAGATCCGGCACAGCTCCCGGCCACCGGCGGCATCCGCTGCTCCTGCGAGCCAGCGGCAATTTGCTGATGATTTGAGCTCTGAAAACCATGTCTGCTTTCTCAAAAGGGTTTTTTTTTTTTGTGTGTGTGTGTACTCGTAATTTCTACGGTTGCTTTGCATATTGTTGCCGTGGAATTTTGATGCTGAAAAAAATCTCCAGAGCAGTTGATTAGGGGTGAGATAAGAAAGGGTTTATTTTGCCAAGGCTAAGATGTTACAAGACGCGCCGGCCGTGCCTGAGATGTCACATTTTATAATACCATCCATCCAATCCCAGATGTGTCCACCCTGTGGCCTTTACTCTGGTCCACCCCGGGGTCCACCCCCGGAGAAATGGGTCTGGGGGTTTTGGGACCCCCCCGTTCATCCCACCTTCCTCTTCATCAGAGCACAAAGGGTACATAGTTACCTAATTCTTGACTGTATTCTGTGGTTTAGGCCCTGATATGCTGTTCTGCCAACAATCTAGGTCTTGCCTTGACAAAAGACTAAACATTTCTGCTATATTCAGGGGTAGGATTGATATAGGGAGCATAGAATGGGGTAAGAGGGTTAAGGAATGTGTAAACAAGGGTGCTAGAGAAAGGGAAAGGGACAAGGGACAAAGGAGGGGGGGGTTGCTGCTTTTAAAATCTACTTCCACTACTTATAAAACTTACGAGTCTTACAAATATTAGAAAAATAAAAAAACATTAGAGGATTAAGGCATCAATATAGAATGGATTACTTTCCAGTCTTATTTATGTAGTCATAGTATTATTATTGGTATAATTCCTTTTATTCCTTTGTTGGTTAGAAGGAGATGAAAAAAAAAATTCTCTGACTCTAAACAAAGGCAGAAGCTGTGCTGCAAGTTCCCAGCGCTTTATTTCCAGCCAGTTAAGCCAAACAGTTAAATGGCAATAGAACTGACTTGGATGAAATCATCTTCCCCCAGAGGATAGTCGGGCACTGAACAGGCTTCCCAGGGCCCAAGGCTGCCAGAGCTCAAGGAGTGTTTGGACAATGCTCTCAGGAAAAGGGTGGGATTGTTGGGGTGTCTGTGCTGGGCCAGGAGTTGGACTTGAGGATCCTTGTGGGTCCCTTCCAACTCAGGAGATTCTGTGGTTCTGTGATAGCCTGGAGCACCCACAGGTCTGGAAATCCCTTCTCAGTTTTAACTTCATGCATATTTACCTGGAGAATTACACCCATCCCCATCCCCCCAGTTCTGCTGTATGACACCCTATCCTTGGACATTTTAGCAGCATTAGTAAAACAAAATGTAGATAATGGAAAAATTGAGTACCTCTTGTTCCTGGCAAAAGGAATAATAATAGAATAAGAACATAGAATATAGAATAAGACCATCTATACTGATCATAAATCATCCTGATAAATATTGTAAAAGTTACTGTGTTGGCTGTTAGGTTGTCCACAGGATAATGAAGAGCCAGCTCCACAAACATGTTCAGTACCACACTTGGCTCCTTATCTGATCCCTTGTAAAGTGCAAATCACAGGAGAAAAAAATACTTTTACACAGGAGAAAAAACCACTCAACTAATTATTTAAAAATCCCCAAACAATTGAACTCTTTGAAGGCAGGAAGTAAATAAATCTGTTTGAGCATCCTCCCCTTAAAATAGGTGTGTAAATAAACAGCTGACAGATTTGGCAAACTGACATGCCACAGAGCTCTGGGGAGGGAACAAAGACATTTTGTCTACATGTCCTCACATGTAGAGTCATCCCTGTGCCAGCTCCTGGCCTCACCTGAGCCCCACAGGCCAGGGAGGATGGAGAGGATGATGTGCAGCCAGCATGCAACCCTCAGGCTGTGTGAAGGAAAGGTCAGCACTGGGCATGGGTTAGAAGTCACTACAGACTCCAGCTCACACATACAAGATGCATCCTGTGGGAAACACTGCTGTAAGCATTTTCAATATCACCTTGGCCTTGAAACATATTGAACACCAGAAATCTGGGGAGCAAGCTTCTGCTGCTCTGCTTTGCACCAGAAGAACTTTCCCTGCCTCGCTTGCTGCTGTGCCAGAGCACCATTCCATCATTGCAGGAACACTGGCTACCAGGAATGGAGACTGGCTCTTGAAACACCTCGATGTGCTGGGGAACTATCCAGTGTTCCCACCAGCTGATATGCTTGGGCTGCAGTGACAGCAGAAATGGCTATTGCTTGAGGAATAATTATACAAGAGCCTTTCAACACTGGCTCTGTCAATCATCTCTCTCTTCAAAATAGTTCTTAAAAGTAAGTAGAAAAGATCACCTGCTCATATTGCTGAGGGAAGAAACAAGAGAGGTTCCACCCCAGTTTGGGGTGGACAGGATTTGAGATTTCGCATAGTCCTGTATTATGAGGTGTAACTGCAAACAGCACCCTAAACTGGAAAGGCACTGCTCCACCCCACAGCAGGAGTTTATTAAAATGTCACATTTAATTAAAGCTATTAAAAAGCTGAGTCATGTGACATTTTTTAAAAAAACTAGTCGCAAAAGCCTTTTACATCTGACAATGAGTGATAACAGATTCATTTAGTTCCTCTCCTTCTAAGACATCACTAATGACTGAGATGTTTTGGAAACAAACTTGTTAGAGGTGCCTGCATCCTCTCCACCCATCAGTCACTTAGATCTTGTTCAGCTGATGTCTGGTGTAACCAGAGGGCTCCTGCTTTCCTGTGCCCTCTTGTTTCAGCCCGGTGGTATTGGCCACATCCTGCAGGTTGTCACGTTCCATGAATTTTACACCTCTGCCTCTTTTCTGGGTCTTGGGCTTCTCAGAAACTTTTACCAATACTATGCCATAACCCAAAGTTAGATTGACAGCAGCAGAGTGTGCTGAGGAAACAGCATCTTTAGAGACCTCCAGGCTGATACTCAAGGGGCAGGAGTCCAGGAGAAAGCCTGCATGGCCAAAAATCCATGTGGAAGGCTCCATGAAAGCAGTCTTAACTCTGTGGTAGATACTCTGGTGTTCCTTCCAAGCTTCACTGTTCCATCCAGATCAAAACGTAGTATTTCTCTTTCTTTCAACCACAGAAGAGAGGTCATACATACATTTGACAGCTTCAATTATTTGTGAATCATGAGTTAGGCTTCCCCTAAACCATGTCATTGCCATCAAAGAAACTTTAGAGATGTGTTTTTTCTGTTGTTTGACACTTCATGACTGAGACTCCTCCATTCAAATACAAGCATGAGACGCTGATTTTGAAATAGAAGCTGTGATTTTCACATAATCATCCAAATCTACCATTTGTGGATTAAGAAAATGAGAAATATCATGAGACTTGTGACAAAAATCACAGGTTCTGGCAACACTGTACTCTGATATCCCACAGATCTCAGAGATTTACTGCTGCAGGGGGTTCCCATGCAAAGCACTGGGCACTTTGCAGGCTGAGGCACTCCAAGTTTCCAGTGTGGCAAATGCATTCTTCCCCTTGTCTCAAAGAATGAATTTTCATTTCAGAGAAAGTACGATCAGACACCCTCTGTAGCGTGTCAGCTGCCTTAGAAACCATTCCCTGTTTGGTATTTCACATAAGATTGTAGAACCATATAATCATTAAAGTTGGAAAGGGCAGGTAAGATCACTGTCCAACCATTATCCCAGCACCACCACTATGTTCACCACTAAACCATGTCCTCAAGTGCCACATCCACACATTTTTTGAACACTCCCAGGGATGGTGTGTTCAAACAGCCTGTTTCAGGGCTTCTCAACCCTTTCAATGAAGAGTTTTTTTCCTAATATCCACCCTAAACCTCCCCAAAATTTACAGATCTTAAAAACTGCCTTCTAGTTTTCTGCAAGCAGGCAAAGCTTCACAGCAAAGCAGTGCAACAGCCTCAGCAGAGCTGCTGCTGCAGGAAAACAGTTTAAAAGTACAAGGTGAGAAAAATGCAAAGAAGCAATTGGGCTGATAAATACTGTCATCAGTTTTAAAATCCATGAAGAATTATCCCGTCCTGCTGGAATGTACCTCAATTAAATTTTAAGCATCCATGCGGGGAGGGCTCTGTCTTGGGCTTGTTTCTGTAGTTTGTAGCATTTCTACTTGTTCTTTAAGTGCAAGCCACCAGTCCCCTAAAATATACAAGGAAATGCAAGTGTCCTGTAGCAGAATCCAACTGGAACCACTGGCTGGGAAACATTTAAGGGTTAATGTAATAAATACGAGGTTTTAAAAGTCTATTTTATATTCTCAGCTGCTTTCATCTCCTTCCTGCACAGCACTTATTTCCCTTCTGACAATAAATCATGTTTGCATGAGCAATAAGGCTGACTCCAGGGGGTGCAGCCATCAGAACTAAGCACAGTCCCAGAGGGAGCTGAGCCAGAAATCTTATACAAACAGTTTGGGTGTTGCTTCCTTATCTTGGTGTAACTTTGCTGCTTCTTGTGCCCAAGTAAATGATAGTGAGCCAGTGCTCTGGCACAAGGCACAATGAATTGACCTGCTTTCTCTGGTGCTTCCCATGGCTGCCAGCATCCCTGCCATCTCAAGGGTGTACTTTCTCCCATCCAACATCTCAGCTTGGCCTCATGTGTAGAACAGGCTCCCTGCTCATGTGCTGTGCTGACCCAGACATCCCAACAAGGGAATTTATTTCACTTGCAGCCATATTATTGCATTTTAAAGCCACATTATAAAATTAAAACACCAGGGAGCTAAATTATGAAATCCAGTTAACATAATCGTAGAGAAGGGGAAGAGAAAGGAAATTCAAAGGAGATGCAGAGAGGCAGGATCAAGATATCTGAGCCACCCTTCACACATGTGCCTCAGGCATGATATTGCCAGTAGGACAGAACAACTCCCCCCCATGCATACCACTCTGTTTAAATCCTAGGTTGAGATGTGCTTTCTTTGCAAAGGGATTGTTAAATCATTCGTCCCACACTTTCTGGGGATCAGAGAAGTGCCTTCATTCTGGTACTTCCTGAGGTTCTCTTTTCTCCCCTTATTAGATTTGCCCTTTCCCATTTTCTAATACTTCCCTTGTCCCTTC